TCCATTTGTTAGCATCAAATTTAGGTTTCATATTATTTCGAGCCTCAATTCTCAAGGCTTCTTTATAAGCATCGCTCAAACAAGTAGGGCATTTGACATCCACTAAGTCCCCTATTTCTTTAGGTAGACCGTTTACAAATATTTTTACTACGGCTGACTTCAATGGTGTCAACATAATCTCGTTAAATTGTGCTCCCAGTTCGTCTTTTAGTGCGTGTTCTGCACAATTCAACAATATATTAATTCGGTCATGGAAATCTCCGACAGTATCGCCCTGTTTCATTCTTAACGCATGTAGTCTTGCATCGTAATAAGCAAAATCCTTACACGGTGCAAATCTTTCCTTTAAAGCTTTCGTTAATTCTTCCGCAGTATTAACGGTTTTTCCATACAAACAGTCCCTAGCCGGTCCCCTTAATTTTGCTATAACGGCCTTTACATAATTCGGTCTTTGGGCGACAGGTACTGTGGCAGATCCATTTTTTATATCCTGAATAAAATCTTTTAATGGGAGATTCTTTCCGTCGAACTCCGGTATTCCTAACAAGGAGTTTTGTAGAGCAAAACTCGCTGATGCCGATTGCAGCATAACTAGAGTTGCTTGTTGCTGTTCTTGCGCCTGCTGTTGCGCTGCTGCTACCGCCGCAGGGTCCATTTCGTTTTATTAAGTAACGCTAATGTGTCAGTCTTATTCCTGACTTCTACGCTAATCGCATAATATTATCTTCTTATTTCGGAGACGGTATAGTGAGTATATAATAAAATTTTAAAATAATAAAATTAAATATTAAAAATTATATTATAATTAAATTAATCAATTAAATTAGAATAATTAATTTTTAATTAATTAAATCAATTAATAACTAATTTAATCCATTAAAATAAATTTAAATTAATTAAATTATTTAAATATTAAATATAGTATAAATATATTATTATTATAATCATACGCCCTATTTGGTAAATAATATTTTTTTTTATATATATATATTTTTTTTATATTAAGCGTTAATAATTAATTAATTAGGAGCGCCAAACAGCAAAGTAACCACGCTCTGCTACCATTTGTTATGTGTATCGTAATAGACACACATGTTGTTAGTGTCTTTCTAGCAAACGAGCGACACTATAACTCGATGTGGTGTATTGCTGCATACATGAGACCCCGCTCACTTAACGCTCGCTAGTTAATTATTAGATATATTTTAATCGTATAAGTATATTTATGGAAAAAAATCAAATAACTGGAATATATATATATGTGTATATAGGGGTTCTTTATAAAGTTCGAATTAAAGTATACTCGGAAATTTTAGCAGCTTGGAACCGAGCTTGTCGAAATTTCGTAGACGTACGGTTTATCCCGTACACATGCATATCATGTTATCCGGGGACGTGCTTAATTTCTAAATACTTAGTCAGCGTAGGCTATAACGCTATGTAATTGAGAAGATCGCGTTACTCTGGCGCGACCGGTATTTATGATAATAAACGGAAAGAGTCGCGAAAGCAAAATACCGAAGCCAATATAATTAAAAATTTAACGAACGCATACACGTCTACATATATACATATGTATATATATATATATGTAGTTATACACAAAATGAATATGCGGAAATTTGCCAAATGGTAATTAATCCAAATATTGTTATTATTATAGAAAAAAAATAAGTAAGAAGAAAATAAATTTACACTAATGAACCTTGAGTTACTTACTTGTTAGAAGTTTATTTATTATTATTATTAGTAGGTTTGTCCTCGAAATTATATAGTTATAATTGTATATATATCGTCAAAATATACGTCCAGTAATATATAATCCTTTTATTATTTTGCTGGTCCTTATAATAACTGTTATCCTTGTACAAGTAATTATGCTGTAATCGATCTGAACGTACGCCGTATACGTATATATATATATATATATGTGTGTATTTTATAATAATGCGTTAATAGCTGATAGCAAGGATATGAATATACTGATTTGGTGAATTTAACAATAAATAAAAACTGATTGACAAAAAGAAATCTGAGATCAAAACTATACGAAAGCAACTGAATAAAAACTGTATGTAAATCTGAACGGAATACGTCTGCTCGGGATTAGCTCTGGCGCTAGACTGCCTTTGTCAGGCGTGGGCGATACAGTCATCCCACGCGAGAGTGTTACTACCGTCATCGCATTACTACGCGGCCGCCGAACTGCTTACGCGTGCTTAACGTGTACAATTAATACGCGCGGCGCGATTATACATAATACTAGTACATATAAGTTTTACATTACATATATCAGGATGAATTTTTTAAAAGTTCTCACTTAACAATAACATTTGACGACACTATTTTCGATAATTGTAAATTACACTAAATTAACAAATAACGAATTCTGTAAAGTTCACATGTGTTGAAAGCTCATTATTAATGTTTATTTACTTGTAAATTAAGAAAACTCATTTCTTAAAATTCGCGAATGTTTCTTGAATATTCGAAAACTTCTCAAAGAAAACGCTCCTGCGAAAATAGGCGGGAAAATTTGTGTATAAATACGCCCACTATTGCACAGGCTGGCATTTACTTCTAGCCTTGCAAAGTGAGCGCATGAATCTGAATAAACTTGGCTAATACCTAAGTTCTTTCTGTCATTGTGATTAACTGAGCAAGACCTTTCCTTTCCTATAATTCGAGCTCAACTTATAGAACATCTCGCGCTATAAGAAACTTGGGCCGAATTATATCCTCTACAAGGAAGATTTTAGCTCTGATTATGGGACAATTCGCACCATAAGAAACTAGGGCATAGTCTCACTTTCCCTGAAATCTTATTCATATTCGCATATATTTGATTTATCAATTTATTTTATTGACAAGTAGAGTAGATTTATTAGAAACGAATTCTTACTCATTAACGCAACTAGATACGGGAGTATGAATTATTATGTATAAGTGATACAAACATCACATTATTAATTTTTTGTTTAAACAATTGCTAATATCTCAAAAAGTATATTTTTCTTTTGTAAATTCTTGCTCCTGCGTGTTTCTGAGGATTTTTACTATCGGAATCAGTCATAAAATTCAAGAGCCCGACATATTGGAAGGCGTAGCCCTAATTAGAAGAAAATGCCTCAGTGTAAGACCAAGAAGACGTTCCGTTGCCGTTGTGACGTACACCGAGGCATCTTTTGATTAGGGCTACGCCTTCCGATATATCGGGCCCTTGAATTTTATGATTGATTTTGATAGTAAAAATCCTCAGAAACACGTAGGAGCAAGAATTTTTAAAAAAAAAGATATATTTTTTAAGATATTAGCAATTATTTAAACAAAAAGTTAATAACTTTCGAAAAAAAATTTTTATTGTTTATTGTTGTAATTATTTCGAAATTTGAGGCATTACAAGTATTTTGATAATAATCCGACTTCGACATCTTGATTAATTTTTAAAATGTAGCCGTTTGAAAATTTTTTATCATTTTTTGTCACCAATAGTGGTGACGACGTTCAGGGTGGAGTGTCGAGTGCTCACACTGCTCAACATGTGCGGCCTCGGCAGCTGGGAGCTCAATCTCAGAAACATCCACAGCAGCGCAACAACATTAGCGAAGAAGCAGTCGCAGAGGGCAGTTCTTCTTTTCTTAGTATAATCGGATACGGTTGGCCACCGTATCCTCATCGATTTAGCGGTAAGTGCGCTGCACTTGGTATTACATTTTGCGTGCGATCCCGCGCAGCGTGCGCGGTGAATTTATAGGTAGCGTGCGTGGGAATAGTCCGTGAAGTCCGCTCTCTCTCTCCCCATTCGAATTATTGTGTCGAAATAGCGTGCGTAAGACTCTCGGCAAATCGTCCCTTATACAGGTTTAGTTTTGACTAAATAAAGTGGTTAGAGATCAGTAAGAGACGATCTTATTATTTCGTCTTCCCTTTGTCCGGCATCGGTGTTATTGTTTACATTCGATTCGAATGCACCGGTAATCCAGCACGGATCGCGTGAGCATAGTAGGAGCTGTTCGTCGACCGAGGTGTTTGCAGAGTCCGACGGCGCGCTAGTAAGTTAGCGCACCAGCGCTACTTTGCGGGGGGATTGCGCACCCACGTTGGGTCGCTGAGTGGACACGGCGCATGCGTACACCGGATCGAGGTGAGTAAGTGTGCTAGAAGCATACAGCTAACACTGCACCGTCTGGCCGTATTGAGGACTACAATTACCCGGGATTTGCGGCTAGGCGGCAGCCTGTTACACCATATACTCCACGCATACTGAGCGGACAATCAAGACTTACTGTCGAGCCCTGTACGTATGTATCTAGTTTCATAAATTCATTGTCTCAGTCTAAACAATGAATAAGTCACACAACCTGAGTCGTATTTTGATCCCAAGCGAGTATTATGACTATTCGATACCGATAAATTAACGCAGTCTCTCTCTTTCTGTATCTATACAAATCTCGTTTGGACTTATTCCTTTATTTAATCTCGCCTTGACGATCATCTCAATTGATTTTAGACAGTTTAGCTAATTGAGAATAAAATAATTCCAATTCATAACATTTAATACTTTTGACTATAGTTATAAAAAGCTATAGTGTACGAATTATATTTACTTTAAGTATTTTCGAAATTTGTTATGTAATAAATTATTTTTTTATTATTTTTTTTAATTTTGTTTAACGTCGCTATATTTATACTCCATCAGTGCTAATCAGTGACAGAGGCTTGCAATGTGTTTGAGAACAAAACACATGAAATTTTTTTCAATTGTGCTTGTATCAATCAGCAGGTACTGAGAATCGAAATTGGGCCTACCGTATGCGAGGGCGACGTCCTACCGACTGAGCCATTGCAGGCCTTCAATGAATCATTTTAATAAAATTGTTAAAATCAATTACAAATTGATATTACATTATCCTCTTCTAATGTTGCATTCAAGTATTAACTGTTTAATTAGAAAATATTCAGTATAATTTTATCAATAAACATTATTTTTCTCATTTCAGCTTCTAGTAATGTTTCAAAATAAAATATCAGATTTTTGTTTTGCTCGTAAAACAGAAAAAGAAGAACTATTCAAAGATATAACAACACATTTAAGCCAACATGGTCATGTACAAGCTTCTGAACTATCGTATCACTCAGGTATGAAATTACTATGTGTAGAATTTGAAATTGAGTATAAAAAGTTAGACCTAGTTTTAGCTTAATTATTTTACTGCATATATAACTGATTTATCAAAAATTAGAATGATCTGAAGGTAAAGAATGAAGACACTAACATATAATCTAAAATCATATAATCTAAGATAACCGATCTGACAAGTAACACTACCCTAATGTAAATCACTAATCTTTCTACAATTCTGTACACTTCTTCAATATCGAAAAATAATAATAGACATGTACTTTTTTTTTATTTTGACGGAGTTAATTTTTATTTTCAAACGTCAATATGGCTAATTAATCTTTACACTCGTATAACGTAATATCGAAATTCGATATCACGTTTGCTTCTATTTGATTAGGTTCAATATCATTTCACGGTTAAACCTGAGAAAAAACTGGTCATCCGGTACCACATTTTACATGATCTATTTGGATTAAACAAGGAAAAATTAATTATCATAAATAGGCGCAATGTCGCCGTACTTCTGTTACCAATTTTTTATAGGGGGATGAAAGAGACATTTTCGCTCTCAGTAATTGAAGAGAAAAGAGAGGAAAGCTTCTAAAATAATTACACACACCGTTTATCAAAGTGCAAAATTTTCTTACTAACAAACAAACTCAATTAGTGGTAAAAGATATATACCTTATTCTATCGAGTCGCTGCTCGAAACACAAAAGAAATCTCAGGTAGCCCGCGAGTGAACGCCTGGCTACTAAGCGTTACCGCATTTAAATCTAACGCAATGGCAAGTATGCCGTGGTGAGATAGACTAGAGAGAGAAAACGAAAACCTGACCTTGTTTTTTTTCAGGCTGATTGACTTTGTGAAGTAGGCGGTGTCGAGCGAAACTGCGTTGGTATCACTTCTTCTTCTCTATGAGGAATACTTGAAGAAGAAGACTGATTAGCAGGCGTCAAAATCGTGTACCTCGCAGCAAAGGGCAGCCTCTCTTGTATTGCGCGGCGAAAACTCGAATCACGTGTGGTGACTGTCCTTTATTGACCTTTCTCTGCAGAGATGCACTCGCTGATTTTTCAACGTACAATGTCGACCAGCTCGCGGTCACTTACTCGCAGCTTCCCTACTCAGCCTACTTTTTAGGCGGTATGTGACGCAACGCTTATCGGTCGTGAGTCGCACGCCTGCCTAGACCTGTATAGTGCGTGCGCTCTCTCTCTCTTTCTCACTCTCTCTCGTTACCACTACGGGAGCCCATCGAGTCTCTTCGGCCACTCCTCGGCAATCATCGATGGTGAAACAAAAGGCCAAGTGTTAGATGCATTTCTAACATGCGCCCAACGTCGACCACTATGCCTTACCGAGAAAAGGATGAGAGAGAGCATACTGCTTGCTCTCGTTATAAAATCCTTGGAAATATATAAGACAGTATGAAAGAAAAGTATTTTGTCAATTGAAAATTTGTATTTTTAATAACAAATCATTACAGTCACGTGTAACGTATTTAGTAATAATCTATATCTCCCGAAGAAACATACAAGTTTAAATTTTTCATAACATACGAGGTGTGTTCAAAAAGTAAGGTGACTTTTCAAAATTCACGGGCAACGTACTTTCGATTATCGATTTTTTTGTTTTGTTATGTTGGTACACTCTTCCCGAACATCTGTACCAAGTTTCAAGTGTATAGCATTTTTTGTTTGGTTGTGAGAGGTGTAAAGGTTATAAGTGTTTTGCGTGCTCGGCGATTTCTTGCTATCGAAAGATATAGATCAAAGGATTTGCATCAAACTTTGTGTAAAAAATAAAATAAAGTGCTCCGAAACACTTGAAATGTTGACGGTGGCATACGGTGAAACTGTTCTGAGTAAAAAAAACGTTTACAAGTGGTACAAACTCTTCCAAGATGGTCGGGAAGATGCCAATGACGAGCCTCGCTCTGGACGCCCAAGCACGTCAACAACTGATGAAAACGTTCAAGCAGTGAAGAAAATTGTTCTGAAAAATCGACGAATCACTATCAGAGAAGTTGCTGAGGACGTTGGTATATCGCTTGGCTCGTGCCATGAAATTTTTTCTAACGTTTTGGGCATGAGAAGTGTGTCAGCGAAGTTTGTTCCGAAATTGCTAAATTTTGACCAAAAGAACCGTCGCATGAGCATCGCTCAAGAACTGTTGAATGACGTCAACGACGACCCAGATTTACTCAAAAGGGTCATAACTGGTGACGAATCATGGGTATATGGTTATGATATCGAAACCAAAGTCCAGTCGTCCCAATGGAAGGGCCTAGATGAGCCAAGACCGATAAAAGCACACCAAGTTCAATCAAATGTCAAAGTTTTGTTCACTGTTTTCTTCGATTACCATGGCGTGGTGCATCAGGAGTTCTTACCATATGGACGTACGGTCAATAAACAGTATTATCTTGAAGTTATGCGCCGTTTGCGAGAAGCATTACGAAGAAAACGCCAAGAATTGTGGAAAAACAATTCATGGCTTTTGCATCACGATAATGCCGCTGCTCACTTATCTTTGCTTGTGAGAGATTTTTTGGCCAAAAACAACACCACAATCATGCCTCAGCCACCATATTCACCGAATTTGGCCCCATGTGACTTTTTCTTGTTCCCAAAACTAAAGAGACCTATGAAAGGACGGAGATTTGCAACGATTGAAGAGATAAAGACTGCATCGCTGGAAGAGCTCAAGGCTATACCGAAAAGTGCTTATGAGAAGTGCTTTGAGGATTGGAAAAACCGTTGGCATAAGTATATTGTATCTGAGGGGGATTACTTTGAAAGGGACAACATAAATATTCATAAATAAATAAATATTTTTTCTTAAAAAGACAAAGTCACCTTACTTTTTGAACACACCTTGTACATACAATAATATAACGTGAACAAATGAACTTATGTAGGTATTTTTGCATTACATTACTTTATAATCATTTATAACGTGGTGTTTTTTCAGATAATTATCACTATTAAATTTGACTGATAAATAAAAGTAACAGACTACGATCAAAACAAGAACCATTATAAAATTATATGACAAGGGAACCACCCCAACCCTCTGCCTCTGATTTTTCTGCAATTGAGATATGTTATAGTTCGTAAAAAAATAAAAGACACGTATTTTTTTTATCGGAGGAAAAAGCTATCTAAGGGATTAAACCCACCCCCAAAAAACAGTTCCAAAAGCAGTTCTATAGCAATATCTTTAGTTGTAATGAATATTTTTTTATGAAACAAAAAAAATACGAGATATTTATAAAAAAAGTAAAAGACACACATCAATTTGGTCCCCGCGTGTTGCAACCCCTACGTTTTATAGGGGAAAAACTGTATTTTTAAGTGTATTATTATCTAACAAAATCAAAATGTTATGTTAAAAAACTTTAACAATGATATTCTAGTAGAAAATGATAAAACAATATTGACGATTTTGGGGTTTTCTTATTATCTATTATTTCGAGAGTGAACTACCCCTTAATGTTATTAATACAATATAAGAAGTTATTAATCGAAGATTATACTGGTTATTTCATGTTCTATGACGCTCAAAAAAGCCAAACACATGTATACTTTTGTTCTGCCGAATAAACTATTTAGAGAGTGAAAGCTACGTCCGAAAGTTACTCGACAACACCACTTTATAGCGAAATTTTCGTATTTTATGCACAATTTTCGACGAAACAAACTCTAAGTCATTCTTTTAAAAAATTTTAGATAAATATATGGATTTCGTCTGCAGGGGTTGGGTTGCAACCCCCTAAGTCGCCTGAAAGAAAAGCTATGTTTTCAAATATTTTCTAGCAAAATTTTTTCAGAAGAAATGAAGTTTATGAAATTCCGTTTAAAATGTAACACAAAAGTATACAGTGTTACGTCTTACGACGCATCCTTTTTGTAACAAATGCACATTCGTGAAATTCAAAGCTGCTAACCTACTCGCACGTCAGCTGACGAAACGCGAGATGAATGACACTCCGAAATAAAGTGTTACGGCTTACGACGCATCCTTTTTTGTAACAAATGCACATTCATGAAATTCAAAGCTGTTAAAATACTTGCACATCAACAAAAAGCTGATGAAATACGAGGTAAATGACACGCCTAAATAAAGTCACCAAACGCAAAATTTATATGCAGCAAAAGCAAAATGTCACACCATATCGCGATACTGACCTGAAAAGAGCTATAAAAGATATAAAAAGGAATGAACAAACTACTCAGGCAGTTGATCAGTAGTCCGTCAGTCAGTCAATAAGTACCTGTAAGACTCAACTCCGTACACACCGGTCCGACAATTGATGATTACCTTACTTAATAAACTCGCGACTATTACAAAGTAATATGGTGCAAGTAATTATTCAACGACCTACCCAAAACAATTCAACAAGCAGTTAGAGCCTGCTACATTTATACAATTCAACAAGCAGTTAGAGCTTGCTACATTTATACAATTCAACAAGCAGTTAGAGCTTGCTACATTTATACAATTCAACAAGCAGTTAGAGCCTGCTACATTTATACAATTCAAGAAGCAGTTAGAGCCTGCTACATTTATACAATTCAACAAGCAGTTAGAGCCTGCTACATTTATACAATTCAACAAGCAGTTAGAGCCTGCTACATTTATACAATTCAACAAGCAGTTAGAGCCTGCTACATTTATACAATTCAACGAGCAGTTAGAGCCTACTACATTTATAAAATTCTACAAGCAGTTAGAGCCTGCTGCATTTCTGTCAACAATTAAAAGCTACGATTATCAAGGTAGTGCAATTATCTGACATACATTTCCACATACATTTATTATAAGTAAGACATATCCAACCACTAGTCAACATATTGGAACGTCTCATTCATTAGCTATTCGTAGTTGATGCACGAGACGTAACAACAGTATCCGTCACCAGGGGCTGCTACCCCTTCATTGAAGAGTGAACTCAGCATTCATTTGTTACCCTGATCCCCTACCAACCTGATCCCCTTCCCTTAAACCT